TAGACTATGTTCCTACAACTTTCTCCGTTTCTCAATTATTTATTTAATTTTATCAAACTAAGCACCGCCTTGGTTAAGGCTGTGGATACCCTATTATCTATCAAGTATCAACTATCAATGTCATGGGTAAATTATTTTGAGATGATTTATGTGATTCCATTTTTTTTGCACATAAAGGGGGCGTTCTGTTTTTGGATTTTGAGAGGGGGAAAGTTGGTCAATGGGATTTATTTTCTTGAGTATCACTTACCGGAGTAAGTGAGACCCATCTCCTAGATGGGTAAATAATTTTTTCACCTAGAGGGAAAGTTGCTAACACTTGAATGACACAAAAATGCCCCTTTTAATAATGAAATTTTATGGATAAAATGATCATTGTCTTATTTACATGAAAAATAAAAGAACATGGGTAAATGCACTTATCTGGGTTACCTGGATAAGTAATTTACCGAAAAACGAACAAGACCAAAATAAAAAAATGTTTTCTTTTTCTATAAAGTATTTTTCTTTAATTTTAAGCCAAATAGGCAACTTCCATCTCATCACATATAAAATTCAGTTACAAACCTTATTCTAATTCTTTTTGTAACGAAGTCAGGAGGAATATACTTCATATACATATGATTGAGATTACTATACCATGTCTTGCTGCGACATGCTCTAATAAGCTCAAAAGATTGCATAAGCTGTTTGTAATCTCTGCCAATAGTCCGAATTTTTCATGGTGGATTCACCAAAAGCCGCTTCACAATCAATTTTGCCTCTCCTTCCAACTCAAAACGAGAGATTCGTAACTGATCATTTGCTAGTGATACAAAAATGGTATATTTTTCATCAATTTGATTTCATGCAAAAATGGTCTTTGAATTAGAAAATGATATAGTAATTTTTTTAATGTATTGTTCTTTTATTTTTCTTTATGGTTAGGTAGAGAAGGTGAGTTTGTGTATTTGGGTTTTGGGGCAAGGTGGGTTATGTTTTCCCTTGTATTTTTCCTCCTTTTAATTATGGCCAATTAATAAATTTAAGATAATCACCCTTTCACTTAGGCTGCGTTTGGTAGAGGTGTAAAATTGAACTGGGGTAAACTTTACACCTAGTTTGATTTTGCAGGCATTTGGTAGATGTGTTAATATACCTCATCAATCGGTGTAAAAGTCCATTATTGTCAGTATATTCACTGAAAATCAGTAGAAAGTTTACATCGATAAAATCAATGTAAAACTTTACATTCCTCTTCCTCTATCCAACAGTTACCTCGCGCCTCCCGCTGCATGTCTTTGTTCGATCGAAGAAGAGAGTGAATCAGGGCAACAACGGCTTCCCCCACCTCTGGCCGAATCCCTTTTCCGCTCCCTCTCCGGCCTCTTTCTCTCTCTCTCTATCTCCCTCTCTCCTTTCTTCCCCTTCTTCTTCTATTCCTTCTTCTCCTACCTACGACCTGCCTTGTTCATTGTGTTCTCTAAAGAACACAGAACTCCCAGCGGTGATAACGCAAATCCTGCAATCTTCTCCAGCTCCGGCGTATCAGAGTTCCGTCGAGACCCAGTTCTGGCGTATCAGAATTCCGGTAGTGGCGAACGGCGTATCAGCACAAATCTTGCCAGTGTACGCATTGAAGCACCATCACTAAACCGGTGTAAATCCTTCAAGATCTAGGCTGGAGATGAAACTCCAGCCTATCAGTGCAAATCCTTCAAGCTATGATTACTCCTTCAAGATCTGGGCTCAATAAGAGCAGTTTATTAGTGCAAAATCCTACTGGCGCAGCGGTAAGAGAACCCATACTCGGATTAGAAGAGAGAGCGTGAAGGAATGGGAGAGGTGGGAGACGAGAATAAGAAAATTTGGGAGGAAGGAAATGAGTTGAATAAGATTTTGATTCTTCATTACTACAGCTGCATTTAAAGCAATGGAAGATTGGTGGCAATCGTCGTCGGGTCTTGAAGTTGAAGGTAAGAAAAGGGAAGATGATGTTGTGGGGGTGCGGAGATGTGAGAACATAGCTCATCGATATCTATGGTCATTGCTCGCTCATGCCTATCAGCGTAAGCATTGCTTGTTCACCTTTTTCTGTCGAGACCTAACTTCTGTCAAGACCCAGTTTGAAAATTTACATCATAGAAAACCAAACATGATCAGTGTAAATTTTCAAAATCAACCAGTCCCAATTTCCATCCATCACTAAACTGGTTTCACATTTTTCCATGGTGTAAAATTTGAATTTACACCTCTACCAAATGCAGGAGAAAAATGATGCAATAATTCTTGTAGGGCCTTTTTGAATAAGAAAACCCTCTTGATTCATATTGTACACTTATGATTATTAATTATTCAACTTTTTTTTTAAGTTAAATGAAATACAAGTACAGGATGTAGGTTCCCCATCCCCACTAGGAACTCAAGGTTCCCCATCCCCACCAGGTACTCAGCTTCCCCAACCCTATCAGGTCAGGGATGGGGATTGATAGTGATACCTTATTAGGGATGAGGACAAGAATACGGAGTGAATTCCTCACCTGTCTCGACTTTGATTATATATATATATATATATTAAAAAAATCCCTTATTTTAAGCAATCTATTTTCTAAAAACTTTTAATTTAAAAATTTAGAGGATTTGGGTCCTGACAAGGAACCCATCTCCATTGGGAATTTGTTTCCAAATTGGTGTGAGGGATTTGTTTCGAAGTTAGGGTCAGGATGGGGAATATGGTCCCTGCCCCATTGTGATTCCTAGATTCAAGAAAAGTTAGAGAGTACAATTTATTTAGTTCTTTTGTCCAATGCCATTTTTCAAACGATACCATTCCTTCTTATTGCATTTTATGTATAATCAAGGTAGCCGGTGTGTAGGGATGTCAACAGATTAGATTTTGTATGAATTTGGCTCAATCATGAACCTACCTAAAATCATTCTAATCCAATCATGATCCAACCCAATCTGGTAGAGACTAAGTTTCGCCTGCACTAGGGCTGTTAATGGAGTCCAAAACTCTGAAATCTAATTCGACATATACCCAATCTTTTAATCTAGGTTTTGGATGTTAGAACTGGCATCCAAATTGTAATCAGATTGAATGCAGATTTAACCCATCTGATTTGATTAAAATCTGAGTCCAATCAAATTTTATGTGTGCATATAATGCATCCATATATAACATTATATACAATTTAAGAGTAATAAAATTAATATTTTATATTTACATGAATTTATTATATGTGTACAAGTTAAAAGTAAGTTTTTTTTTTAAATTTTTTTATTTATTCAATTTAAGAATAATAAGCCTAGACTAGTATTAAATCCAAACCCCATTCGAATATAACATATTGGGCTTTGGATTAGATTTGGACCTAACATTTCGATAATCAGATTGAATTTGGATTAGCCAGATCCAAATCCGAATTCTAACTCGATTAGAGCCCTAATTAACCTGCACGAAGCCATAAAATGCCATTGCCATTTGAAAGGCAGATAGGGTTCGGTTGCTAGCTCACCAACTCCATATACGGAATGAAATCTAAAGGGCACCATGAAAGCAAGTCACACCTCCTTGTTGTCCTCTTTCTCCACCAGAAAAAAAAAATGTAAATAATCACAAAACACCAAGATATCTGTGAATTAACAAAATGTATATTAAGTTTTTTTTCCCCATTTTCTCGTGATCCCTCTTTCTCCACTGGGACCAATCTTTTCATACCGTGTTATCCCTACAAAAGAAGTAATAAAGAAAGCTACACATATATGGATATATATGGTTGGAGGAGGCCAAAACGTGAATGCAGAACTTGTGTTACTTCCATCCAAGGAAAAAGAAAATAGGTTCTATATTATTCTTGCATTTTCAGGGACCTAATTAAATTATTATTATTTTTTCATTTAGTTACATTTAGTCATAAAAGTCGGAGTATTTTTGTCTCATTCAAGTGTTGATAGCTTTCCTACATGTGGAAAAGTTATTTACCCCATCTTTGAGATACATAGGAAAATAAATTATCCTTGATCCCTACATAAATCTGAAAAAAGAAGGTAGATTTCTTGGTCACTGGGATTGTCCCCCCTCTCAAAATCCCAAAAAGGAACGCCCCATGAATGCTGTTCATGGTTGCATAATTTGGCTCTAACATATTGATGTTTTATGGAAATCTATATAGGGCAATATTTGAATTGGCATTGGATCTTATCCATTAGATTCAGATTAAACTCTAATTATTCAAATATTGAAAGTCATTAATAAATTAAACTAAAAATGAACTTGATATTATAATTCCTTGAAAATAATTTTCATGAGACATAAATGTATGAATATGTTTTTTATTCTCCCCCAGGAAGTCCATCAGACTTGAAACATGGACAAGTAGAGGCTCAAAAACTAAAGCTATTAGATGAGGTCCTTAAATAGGCTTTCATTCTCTAACACAAACCTAAAAACTAAAGTTATTAAATGAGATCCTTGAATAGGCTTTTATTCTCTAACACAAACCTACTGTACTAATAGATATAAGCATAAATGTAAATGTTTAAATATTATCAGATATCAGATTAGATTGGATTGGGTATTCAATTACAAAGGATATCCCAATGATCTAGTATCATTTTTTTAAGCCATCTAGTAACATTTTAAGTCCCATGTGAACGTGCCCAGTTGATTTCTTTATATCCCTGTTTTTCTCTTTCCTTTATATTTATTTTTCCTGTTTTTTTTTTTTTCTATTTGTGATGTTAAAGATAAGTTGTTACTAGTCCTGTAACTCCTGTTTTCTCAATTGTACATAATTTTTTGTGATATTTAAAAAGGATGAAAAAGAAGCAAATTAAAGCCACCTTCTTCTATTCATCTTCATGAAAAGTCGAGAGTATTCAGTTTTTTTTGCATTAATTACAGGCACGAGAGTTTCCATTGTCCATACGCATTAACTCTTTGGAACTCGAGAGAACTCAACAGCTATAAATTAGTGCAAAGGGTTTACCTTATTTTCGCATGAGATAACCTTCAAACTGTTCACTTGGCTTCTGGTTTTCAATCACTAAGAACTAAGAACTACTTCCAAGCGACGTTCAAGCTTCAGTTCGATCTGCTTCAGCGCTCAAACTCATTCCGAAGTGGGAATTGCTTCAGTTGTCATAATTAAGAATTGCTCGTCATGGCACCCCACGGAGAAACGTTCGTTGGTTCCTACTCAAGGAGCAACAACTTCTGCAAGCCACCCAGCACCAGCAGGCTCTCAAACGAAAGCCTTCAAAGGACAGTTTCTGACCTCTCCTTCGAATTGAGCAAAGCGGCCATTGATGTAAAGCTCCCACCCATTTCTGAAATCGAAGACGCCAAGTGTGCGTGCTGCGGAATGTCGGAAGAGTGCACGCCTCAGTACATTCAGCGGGTACGTGATAAGTTCTGCGGGAAATGGATATGTGGGCTGTGCTCCGAGGCAGTGAAGGAAGAAGTCCAGAAGAATGGAGGAAAAGGAGAAGAGGCCTTGGATGCCCATATGAAGGCTTGTGTGAGGTTTAATAGAATTGGAAGGAGCTACCCAGTTCTATACCAAGCTGACGCCATGAGAGAGATCTTCAGAAAGAGCACGATGTTGGAAGGCAGAGGAGTTAGGGCCAACTCTATCAGTTCTAGAGACAAAGCTAGTAAGAAGAGGAGTGGAATCCTTAGAAGCTCCAGTTGCATTCCTGCAATTACAAAGGAGATGGGTGAATGAGCAGACAATAACAGTCAACTGAGTTATGGGAAGGCAAAACTGTCCATGTTGCTCTGGGAAGCGGTCCAAATGACCATGGACGACCCTAATCCTTTAAATATTTCTAGGTTTTCTTTATCGTTTCTCTTTGACTACTCCAAGCTCCTGTACTTTGAGATACTCTATTTTCTCTCTTTTTTTTTTTTTTATCAGCCTTTCAGTTTCCCTTCGGGATTTTTCCTGGGTTGGTCCAACTTCTCTGATCGATCCTAGATTTGCAATCCTCCTCACCAAGAAGGGAAACAAATGAAAGAACATACCAGCTGCAGCCAGCTCTAGTTATCAATACGACAACAATTTTGTATATTTGGTAATTAATTACTATAACAAGGCTTCCCACGGGGTTGTTTTCCCTTGATATATATGATCAATTCGATGTACTAACTTAACTATGTATTTATGGCAATAGTTTATGATCCTTTCACCTCCCACTGCATGCGCATATATGTATCTTGAGTTAATGACTCCAAGGAAATCCATCGATCTATGCCTTTAGTGAAAGTACTGTAAGGAAATTAATCTCATGGTTCATGTGTTTTTTTCGATTTTATTTCCCTTATCCATGCATGTAAATAAAAAGGCTTCAATATAATGGAACTAACGCAACAATTTTCTCATATCTTTAACAGGCCTTGCATCGGCTTGGCTCTAGTTTCTGTGCTTGGAGAAGGCCTTTTCCTGTGTTTTAATGGATAATTGGACCTACTTGCAACAGAGGACAGATTCTGAATTATTTAAATGATGTTTCTTTTAAATTTAAGCAAATGGGCTTGGCCATGCTATTGTTGAATGTTGATCAGTGCTATATAGAAATTCTTTGGTGTGTGGAAGATCTTCTGTTCAGTTTTTGGCCTATAGAGTACCTAAAGAAAGTACTTTTTTTTTTTTATCACATTTAAACATGGAAAATCCAGACAATCGATCAAATGGGTGCTCTCTGGAGTCTGGATGATTAGGCATACGTTGCCCTTTTTTCCACCTTGACCTCATTCAGGATCCGCCATGATTTTAGTTTTTTCTATGAACTATATCTCCTGTCCCAATTCTTCGTTTCTTTGGGGGTGATAGATTCCAATTCCACACACACAAGCTCACCGGAAAAGAGTTTTGCACTTGAATCATCTACATTCATCATTCATGAACAGTTAGTTATAAGTGGATAGTTTCTAAACATAAGTGGGTAGTTTCTAAAATGAGAGTAAATGACATATATACTCTCTTTATGCCCATTGTATGTTTAGACAAAAGGGATAAAAAATATCCAATGAAAATTCCAGAATGAAGAGACATTCACTCTTTTATAAGTAGTATAGATATAGATATAGATTTTAGGGCACTAACACTAATTACGGGCCTGGCCCATTACCCAAATCCTGCGAAGTATACAAAGCCTCTTAGGTTGGAGAATGTAGCATAGCCTTAAGGTGTTATGTGGGCAGGAAGGTCCAGTAGGATTGGAAATCTCCAACCAAATTGTTTGAGCAAATCATTGCAAGTATGCGTGCAGTTGGCTGGAGTTAAGAAATTACTATATATGCTTTTAACACAGTTATTTGATTGCAACCCGCCATGTATTGAATTTACCTTGATCGTTTCATGTGCCTTCTCAAAACTATCCAGGCTATGTTTGTTTGCAGTATAAACCTGAACGGGACACAAATTTTGCACCTGGTTCAGTCTTGCATCTGTTTGTTTATAATTAATTATGGTTTGTGCTCTTATCTGATGCAAAACTTGTACTTTTTGTCTCATTTACACTTGCTAGCAATACAAATTTTCTGATGAAAAATTCTTCCTCCTCCAATTCTTTTTCATATAAAAAAAGTAGGACGACAGCATCTTGCTACTTTACTCCCAAACAAATGAAACTCCTCCTACCTCCATTCCTTTTGCTACAAGGTAAACCATTTGGCTACCACATTGTCGTAAAGCCTTTGATATATTGATGCGACCCCACCTTGAATTAGATGAACTAATGTCTTGGTGCAGCCACAGCAATAAATCAAAGGCCTGGGTTTTGGGTCTTAGCCCTGTGAGATGACTCTTATGTAGCAAAAGTGAAAAGGCACAATATAATTTTACTTTGGCTCAGTTTGAAGGGAGTACGAATATAAATATGTACAATATAAATCCGCACAAAATAATACAAAATAGAAGATTTTGTGCTCTACATATTTGTACTCTTTTCAAATGGAGCCTTCCTAATTTAAGTCTTACAAAGGAGTTATACCGTTAAGCCTAAGGCAAAAAAGTAAACCAGAATTTACAAGTCAGTTTGTTTGCAATAATTCAATGCATTTACACCGGTGCAAAGGAAATGAAATATGTACTGTAAACAAAACCGAGCCAAGCCTACGGTGCCATAAGCAACTACAGTGACATTATATGATTTGTTTGGTAACTTCTTCATTACATGCAAACTGGACAAATCTTCTGCTGCGCTAATCCCACAATACTTTCTTCTTTTTTTAATTACTCTTCCTCAATAGTATTCACGAGAGGCGGCTGCCTTTAAACTTTGGAAGTTACTGCTTAGAAGGGTTTGAGCTTTGATCATTGTCCCGTACGAAAAAGACGAGAGGGCTATTAATTAAAATGAACGGTGGGTCTGGTTGTTGCCTTGTTAATTTGGGAGTACTGGTCACCTTTCATCAGCTTATAGTGGCTGAGCCAACTCTTCTCTTAAGTCTTCCCACGGATAACCTGGCTTCACACCGGGATCAGATGACACGTAAACGGTAAATCCTATAATATTGCAGTAGTGTTGTCAATTGTTATTACACAGGTTTCATGGTTCCATATATCAAGTTACCGGAAAATAAATCAAAGCCATCTAGTACTACTCCACCCTCAAGCTTTTCAATCTATATCTGTCCATGGTTTAACATTTTTGGGAGTGTATGTGTTCGTGGCACCACTTAAAATCTCTCTCTCTCTCCACCACTTCACCCTCAGATATCACTACCAAAATAGGCGGGTTGGTTGATTGGGAAGGAAGGTAGAACCCGTGACCAGTGTTGTGATAGTGATACTCTGTACTTCACAAAACTATGTGCGCCGGACCGAACTCCTCAATACCTCTGCCAAAACCACTATTCTGGTTCACTACTTGAAAAGGCTTTGATTAGATGACATATATATATATATATATATATATATATATAATTAAACTCCATTGCTAGGCTACTACAAAATTCTGCCACATTGGATAACCATCACTTGGGCCAGTCCATAAGCATTTAAGGCTGAGTTTTGCATAAAAGAAAGTCCTTAGAATGCCAAATGCAGCCTAAAACAATTAATGTTTGATAACATATTCGGCTCTATCAGAATGCATGCATGCACACACACCCATTAATTTATGACCCAGTAGCTATAACTGCAGGTAGCATGGCTACTCTAATCTAATGGGTTTTTACCAGACGACGTTGATGATTTCATGATATTGCAACCCGTGAGTCGTCACGTGCTACCACAAGCACACAATTGTGACATTCTATTCCTTGTGTGTAACACATAGTTCATTTTAATTAGTGCCTTGGATTTATAGGAAAACATTGGCACATGTCTTCCACATCTTTCAAGTTGTGCAGTCTGTTGATGTTCATTAATGGCAAAGTAAGGCAACACATCTATTTCCCTAAACCATACACCTACCTTATCTCTCTTTTGTTGATCGAATCTCTTCAATATATAAAACCCCCACTTCTGGCAATGAATCTAGTCCAGTTCAAAATATCCATCCTTTCCCGACCTAACCCTTAAAACCAAAAGGGGCTGATTTACTGACCCCATGCATGAAATTAAGGGTTGGATTATTAATTATGTCGTTTATTAGGAACTATTCTACTTAATTTCTACCCCTATAAATAGTTGTCCTCACTTGTCCATCGATGCATGCCTTGTTCCTTTTGTCGCAGAAAAACTAATGAAGATTTAGTTAATTTCATACAGGAAAAGCTTCTTGCTTCAATGAGTCAAAAGCCACCATTAACTAATGAAGAACACAAAGTCCTTTCTCCTATGCAGGTAATTAATAATGTTTTCTTGCTTCTTATATAAATTTGATTGCTTGCAGTTAATTCATCAGATCAGTTCTTTAATTTTCTCTACCTTTTTCTTATTATTTATTCCACTCCGCCTCCCTTCCCTCTATTGTATGGGATCCTCAACAGGGTGACCAGGCGCTCAGAAGGGTTTTCTCTGATGTTTCTGCTGAAATGTACAAATATCACAAGGAAAGCAATGAAGTCGAGAGTGTCAAATGCGAATGTTGTGGGCTCATCGAGGATTGCACTCCTGATTATATGGGACGTATTAGGAATTTATATTGCGGTAAATGGGTTTGTGGACTGTGTTCAGAAGCTGTGAAAGAACGATTAAAGCGAGCTCCGGGAACGGCAATGGAGGAAGCTGTAAGTTGTCACAGGGATTTCTGCCAGAAATTCAGCAGTACGACAATACCCAACCCAAAGCTCTCTTTGGCATGGGCCATGAGGGATATAGCAAAGAGAAGCTCTCTACGGAGGGGTTCCAATATGTTCTCAAAACAAAAGATTGCCAGAACCAACAGCTGCGATCATAGGATTCGTCTGTAGTAGGAACGCGCGCACCACCTTGAATTAATTAGTGATTTATGACAACCCCTTCATATTTCAAGCTTTGCAGCTGGAGCTTCTTCAAACAATTACATACATGAAGCAAGACATAGTACTTTTCTTGATTAAGTTGTTAGTTTGCTTTTTGTTTTTTGTTTTTTTTCCTTTGTAAATTTCTAGTCTAAAACGGGATCTGCTATTATAGTGAATTGTGATATAGAAGAAACCCAGTGGGGATGAATGATCTGATAGCTAAACTCGATCCTGTTAATGTTCTAGATGAAATTTGGGTCAGCCCGTTTTACTTAAATTACTTTATTTGGGGCTGAACCCAGCTTGAACTGCAACTTTGTGGATCACATTTTCTGCCCTTGTGGTCTGTGTTTCTTTCCCTAATATGTAGCAGAAAAAGGGATCAATGGCAGAAGTGAGAGAAGAACCTCAATTTATGCAATGGTTTTTATATAAGAGGTTACATTTCAAAGTCCAATCATGACCCATTTGGAAAATTTTTTAACCATGCTAAATTAAATTTTCAATCGTCTATTCATTTTTCATCGATTCACATTTCAAAAATTTTTAACCATGTTATTTCACATTTTGAGTTATGTCTATAGAATGCACCATGGATTTTAATTTGTCTATATATATTTCAATCATTTGTTGAGTGTGATCACGTTAGAAATGCCTTTAGGCTGTGCTTGGTTGTAGTACAATTCTATTTGCAATAGTACAAATGCATAAGAGTGCAAATTTAAAAAATGCATATTCTCGTTTAATTTTGTTCTGGGTTTTACTTTAATCTGCTTTATGTCTTAATTTACTTCATTTGTATTGCAATCAAACACAATAAGCTAAAATTTACAACAAAAATAGGTCAGAATTTACACTTAAATCATTTGCATTGCCATAATTTTGCATTAGTGTAAATTTATTTACATTGCAACCAAATACAACATTAGTTTCAAAGTTATCCTTGCAAAGAAAATACACACAAAAATGAAAGAAAAAAAAAAAGAAAAAGGAATTTTACAAGAGAATACAAACATCTACATGGTTTGATCTATAGGCTATGTCCAAAGAAGAGAGAAACATTGTTCTTCACTATGAAAAGGATTAAGAAGTTAAGATATTTCAAATTTACACATAAACCAGAAACTATATATTAATCTTTGTAAGTATGAACAAGGTTTTTAAAATCAATCTGGACAGGGAACCGTTTGAGCCGAACAGATGGTCTGTTATGACAAAAAAAAAAAAAAAAAGGTAAAAAATGGCCAAAAAGAGGTTGACAGTTCGATTGCCCTAGGATGGAACGGAACCAGTCAAGTGATCAGTTCCCAATTTTTCTAGTCCTACCATCCATTCCAATTTTGAAAACATTGAAAAAAACCAAGACATTACTCTCATATATCCTCAATCCTGTTCTCCTTTTCTTCCTTCAAAAAAAATGAAAAAAAAAATCTATAAACCATACATTTTTGTTGGTTTGGCACCTCTCTTTATAACAAAAAAAGTGGACCCTATTGAAGTCAATACCAACCTAAATAGAAAAGTTTCTTTCATTTCCTTTTTTGTGAAACAGGTGACCAATACTTCTTTTATGTATAATGAATGGTTTCTACTTTCTAGTAAGCGATTATAGGTTATAAAGCAATATAAAACACAACAATTTCCACTTGACTTGTTTTTAGACCACCTTGAAGATTGTTGTTAGTGTTATTTCCACTTGTTTACTAACACCAGAAACAATCCATTAATGGCCTTGAGAAAAAAAATCACCTTCACCCCTAACTCTGCATAACCGAAAACATCTAAATCTTTGACTCCACCTGATCTGAACAAAAAGCTAATACACATGTATGGCCGTCCCGATTAAGTTAATTGTACCAGCTAGCTAGCTATCTAGCTAGCTAGAGACCGTGATACTTTTGTCCTTAACAATAAGTGAGTTGCTTGTTATAGTGGGGTTGCGGTTTAGGTTGATTAATACAGATTTGTGAGAGAGAAAAACTTTCACTTGAAATGTTTTGAAAACATTTTGAGTTTATTAATACAAATTTCCATTTCTACCTAAGGCTCAGTTTGGAAGGAGTATAAATATAGATATGTAGAGTGTAGAATCTTATATTTTGTATTATTTTATATGTATTTGTACTATACATATTTGTATTTGTATTTTCTCCAAACTGAGCCTAAGGCTTCGTTTGGATCCGGTGTAAATATTTTACACTGAACCATATAATAGGTGACGCTATATTTTGAAAACCGTGATAAAAAAGTGTAAATCGATATAAAACTTTATACTTGAGATGAGTTTTACATTGATCCACTCCATCCAAATGCCAACAAAACCAAACCGTTATAAACTTATTACATAGATCTTGATTTATACCGATTCCAAATGCAGCCTTAAACTCAAATTTATTATTTCTCACATACAGACATTTTTCTAATTTAGCTAACACTCGTATACGATTTGACAATACATATTTCTCACAAATTTCTATCAATCAAACCAAAACTCAATATCAACACAATGCCACTAAACCGAACACCCCAAAAACCACCACCTTATTATGATTTACACGTTAAAAATCTATCAATCTTGTTTCCACACTATTTTATTTTTGGCCGGCCGGTTGTAAATGTCGACTTTGTGGTGGGATGTTTTGTAAATCATGTTTAGGTTCTCCATTGTTATTTGGTTGAGGCTTTGGGTGGGCTGGATGTCTCAGGTGTGGATCGAGCTTTCTCATGATGGTATTGTTATTGGGCTTGGTCAGGTGTAGATCGAGTTTTCTCGTGATGCCTGTACGTTGTTGGGCCGTAATTAATATTCAAGTTGATGGAATTTTCCTTTTATTTTATTATTTTTTTCTTTACTATAAAAAAAAAAATATATATATATATATATATATATAAACATTTGTTATGATGGAACTAAGGATTGAACAGTAGAGGCTTTGGCCCATTCAGTCATTCCATAGGTTTAATGACCAACTTGTCCGACCCCAAAAGCTTGAGCAATTTCACTCTGGCATATGGTCATGGTTTCAAAATAGAGCAATTGATTAGAGTCTACATCAGCCAAAAAAAAAAAAAAATCTTGTTGAACTTTTTATTTGGTTTCCCAAAGGAAGTTGATTTTGCTTCAAATAAACAATTAAAAACTTAACCCATGAATTTTGTAGTTTAGAAATCATATAATTTATGGAGCATGATATTAAATAATCAGATGAAGATATATTCTTTAAATTAAGAATTCAAAAACATGGTTTGGTTTCGGTTTTGAAAACAAACATATATAACCAAATTATTTTCAAACCAACTAGCTAATTTTATTATTTTGCTTCATGAACTCACGGCAAGAAAACAAAGGTTGGTCATAACGTGGAAAATGAATTTTCTGAAGAGTAAATAATAATTGTAGAAAATGACGGTTCCTTCTATAGTCAACTTTTTGAACAGGGGTTGGTCATAAATAATTAGTTGTCCTATTATACGTCATTCTTCAAAGAAATAAAATTGATTCATTTGTGCAAACCAAACACAGTAAAAAAGTCTGGTGATGCTGAAAATTCTGGTTAGATTGGGCATGGAGCAGCATGTTACTAGCATACTTGGACATAGGTGATAGGCCGGCTGGGCTAATGCCAGACTGTCTGCTCTACCGAATGACTTGGCTACAACCCTACAACCTGTTGCTGTTGGTCATCAGTTGGTGGTGGCCCTCTCGGTCTACTGAAGGGCCCTTCCCTTGTCCACTGAGTGTTAAATGGTCCCAACTCCCAATTCCTTTGCGACCGACCAAACCGAGCCTTCCTTCAGATGTGGTACAGTTTCGGATTGCAACGAGGCAGATGGAGACTGGAGTCTAAAGGAGGATTGACCGCCCCGCCCCTCGTTATAATGCCTGTTGTGAAACATTTTCCTTCAATCCCGGGACCCTCAAGTTTGATGTACCATTCATTGATCAGCCAACCTGTTTCACCCAGCTGCGAGTGCTGGGCAATCCCCAACCGTTTAGTTGCAGTGAATATTGGCCCATTCAACTTTTCCTCATTTAACTTCGGGGGGTGTAAGGTGTGGGTCCTTATTTGGAGTCCGATCATCTGCACTTTATGACCGTGTTAAGGGCTGTTTTCATGAATTATAATGTCATTCAGCCATCAATTATTATACCTAGGGAATGCCAATGAATTCATCTAAATGAAAATTAATTTGGACAGATTAGACGAATCAATAAGACATTAAATTGGATTAATCCAGACTTAATGATCGAAAGTATACTTTTAGATTGGATTGGACCTAGTTCATTCATAATGAATTTATATTGGATTGGATCCAATTGAATCAATATCCAGTCCATTGATAGAAGATAAAAATACAGATGTGAATGGATTAAGTTTGGGTTGAAATCAATTCGAACAGATTAGATGATTCAGGCATTGAATTGGACTGGTTCAAAATATTCACCGCATTGGATTGGACGTGATCCATCTGTAATAGACTCTTCTGGTTATATAATCTAAGCTGGACTGAATCAAGATGGGATAAACCAAGGAAGGAACGAACAGAAATAACTGGGGTTGTCTATCAATTAAAATACATAATTTGTATAATCGAAGTTATTTGTATGAAACAAAACAAGTAGCCTAATTAAACAATTAGGCTTCATCGCTTGATGGATAACCAAATTTCATTCGTTAGGGATGTAAAGAGGTGATTTGTTCAATCCCGTAGTTCACCTTAGACCTCAAACCCGCCTTATGTTGTTGTAGCTTTCCGTGATGCTGCGTTTGATTCCTAAAAAGAATTAAGTGAACAAAGGGTTCTTTTTTTAATTTAAAGAGTACGGGTATATAAAATGGTTTATTCTGGATGCTTGAAAAGGGTTGTCTGCAGTATAAAGGACATGGCAATCTTCCATAGTGGCAGTATGATTGGGGATCCAAAAAGGGATATTTTCCTACAAAATTCCTTAACTCAATTCATCGTTTGAGTTCAGCCCCAAAACCTTGCTATCATTCAGTCATGCAATTTGATTTTTGATGAACTTTGATCTGTAGACTGTAGGTGTTTCTTACCAAAACAAAAATCTGAAGATGCTAGCTAGCTTACCGGCCACGTCTTATCAAATCCCACCTTTACTTGGGCTGGGTTTTACGGTTATGGGGTTTGGGCTTGCTCTCATTGCGTAGCCCTTTTCCCTGGTCATCATCTCAGTCCAATTAGGAGATCTCTTAAATCTACAAAAAAATAAAAAATAAAAAAATCTCAAAAAGCAATGTGGAATTCCACCCAATATTTTGTAGACTTGTTTAGTAGGCTTTGGCGAAATCAGTTTATAAGAAAACAAAATCCTAAATGAAGAATTTATCAATTTCATAAAAAAGAAAAACCACACAGGTAGAGTTGCTTAATTAGTAGAATACCTTATCTAATTTTTGTTTAAGGATAAAAGTAGGCCCCATCTTTTTGGACAGTTGCCTAAGGACATAACTACTCCAGAATTGAATTGAATAAGGGACGTAGTAGGGCTCCCCCAAACCCCCCACCCCTCCGACACCCAATGAAGGTGGTTTGCAAGAATTCACTGTGATGATCATCACAATTGATGTGGCAGTGGCACTAAACAGAACAGAATGGCAAAACCAGGATCGATACAGTCAACCACATATAATTGGGACAAGTCTTAAGTGATGATGACGACTATGATCGTCATAGCAGCTGATAAAAGCTCAAATATGTGTACACATTGGAGTCTTAAAATTGGCAAATCTAAATTGCATAGATGACATAGGACCATACATTTAGAGGTCATGATGGAGAAGCAAGCTTGCTAAATCCGCTACCACCTGTAATAATTGTGCAAAAGCAGAGTTTTAATTTATGTGCCTATTTTGACCAAGCCTCTCAATGACCACCTAACCTAAGAAGAAGCATAACCTACATTATGCCTCTGATTCAATGCTTTTTTTTTTTTTTTTTACAGATTTAAGGGATTTAAATTTAGGATTTCTTCATATAAAAATCAAGAGGAATATGTAATGGAATGGAAGAATAATCACGCAGCAGCTGAGAACATGTTGTTGCTTGGTATGGTTAATATATAGGAATAGGCCGTAGGAAATGCTTTGGGGGAGCCCTGGCCCCTGGATGCGACAAGGACCACACTCTGTATATTCCTTGGACAAAGAGATGGGTGGGTTCCGTAAAGGGGTGCACGAGCAGTAACGTAAAGACATCCGGCTTTTTTTCTTTTCTTTGTTGGTTAACAGGAATAGTCCCACACTGTCTTCTCATTCTTCTTTGCCGCACCTGTCAACCACCGTGTGACCGAAAGATCATCATTAAAAGCTCCAAGCAAGCAAAAGGCCCCAAGAACATCGCCTTTTCCTTTTACATGCAACAGACTTGTTTCATCCCGTCTCGTCTCTTTCCCAATAAGCCCCTCCCTTCTTCCTAACTTTGATTTTTTTTTTTTGTTCCATCATTCTTAGTCATTTCATGATTTAAAGTGGCCAATACACCTGAACCTGTCATGGCCATTGACATGGCCTTAAGCTGATCAGCATTTTGATGAAATTAGGGTTTATGGTCCAAATACAAAGAGGTGAACCGTGACCAGTTTGAGTGATAAATATTAGATGGTGTGTCTATATCCATGGATACAACATAATAATAATATGATAAGAATTATGGTAGTGTATATCTCTGTGAAGTGATTATTTGAAGAATGTACCCATATGACATCAAGCTTCAGATCAGCATTAATTAATGGCACTAATTCCAAAACTTCATCCATTCATTACACTACTGCATGTTTTGTAAATATCATTTTTGTTTAAAGGTGAATTTATACGTCATTGCCAATGGCTATCAAATTGGAACATTTAATCAGTTAGGGGTGTTTTACAATATGAATGATTTAATATATTTTTTCAAAATAAAATCATCAAATGAACAATGCTCATATTAATTCCCACAAATCAAAACCCCCATCAATTATCATGTGACTCAAATCATTACAATGCTAGTTTGCTCCTTATATAGCTCTATATCCCTAGCAATTTTATTTATAATTTGTAGTATTAGAAAAACTGAAAAAATAAAATACCCATAACTAAATCTTGTTTTCTTTTTTAACTTGGCAAAAGCTATAGTGGACGAAATGCATGGTGAAGCAAAAAACTTATGGAGAAGTATGGATTTGCCCAGTGCATACTTCTGATTTTTATTATAGAGCTATAAATATTCAAAAGATCAACAATTCACACTCTATGCACCAACGCCCACCCTTGAATTGACATCAATTCCGAGCTGACACCTACCCCAACAGTACTTTAAGCCTATAAATTCTGACCCTGGGTTGATCGGTCATTCTCCCAAAAACTTACCCCAATGATCAAGTGATACATTATAATTGAATCTTTAACATTATTAAAATCATTAATGATAAGTACACCTTAGTTGTTAATCAATGGAAAGTAAATAAACCATGCAATGTATTTAATGTTATTGTTTAAAATTTTGATTTAATATGTAGTAGAAAACATTAGAAATACACGGGCGTTCTTCAATATGTATGACTTTGTTTTATAAAACAAAAACAAGTCAGAAAACAAAATCATACATATTGGCAAAAAACCCTCTAAGGCTTTGGTTTCACAACATATATTTGGAACCAATATTATATGAAATTAACTAAAATATCACATATTTGAAACCATTATTAATTAATGCAATTGCATATCATTTATGGACCGGGAAACTTTTTTGCCAAATGGAGCACAAACACAAAACAGATGCAAGATTACTTGTATCGGCTGCGAAGGCATTGAAATCATATACCTTTCCCATGTTATGCGGGAAAATCTATGATACCAGAAAGACATGGTATTAGAGGAATTTAGGCCAATCAAAGCACCCCGTGAATTTTGATGAATACCACTTGGTTAATCACCTTTTGAATGATACCTTTTGATTGGCTGTTAACTTTCTCGGTATTATATCTTTTTGGCATCGTAATCCAAACCTATTACATATTGAATTTCTCGTTGTTCAAGTCCAACTAGAGGCGTCTTGAGATCATATTCATGCCATATTTAGAGGGCATCCTTTTTATGGATTTTGAGAGTGGGGAAAATTGGTCAATGGGATTTTGATTCCCATTGACCAAGAATCCCATGTTCTTTCTTCAGATTTATGTGGGGACCAGAAAAAATTTATTTTCCTGGAATATCACTTACACTCCTAAGTGGGTAAATAAATTTTCCACGTGGGGGGTGGGTGTGGGGGAGTTGTTAATACTTGAATGGGACAAAAAGGCCCTTTTAATATTGGGTTTTTATGGCTAAATAGTTATTGCATTATTTACATGAAAAATAAAAAAACATGAATAATGCACTTATCCAATAAGTCTTTTTTGTAGAATACTTACTTAAATAAATGTATTTACCCAGATAAATAACTTACAAAAAAAAAATGAACGAAGCCTTGGTGTAAAAACTGTGAACTATCACAAATCAGTTTGTTTAGTTATTGAAATAGTTCTATGAATCAATATTCTTCTTATAATTTGCAAATTAGACTTTCCTTAGCTGGTGTGGCAAATTTCATGAATCAATTTCTGGTTTTCAATTAATAATCATTATAGTGTTTGAAATCATGCATGATGTTTTAAGTCTCACTACTCAGCTCGTACTTAATGTTTTGAATTGAATTTTCAAAAAGTGAGATGTTAATTTGGCAGGGGGCGTAACCGTGTAAGTCAGGTACCCGATTTAAACTCTAAATAGGCCTTGAAAATTTTACATTGGATTGGGTATCGGGTTCAGCCTATTCAAATTAATCTGAGCCTACCCAAATTACATTTATTACAGGTTTATTGCAGGACTGTATGTGCCTTAAATGATATCTGCAATGGGAACAACCTCCATTGAAAAAAACAACAACATCCTTCAACCCCTCTATGCACATTACGTCCAGAGATGTTTGCATTTAATTCTATCCAACTAAACTTTTTGAAGCTTCCTCCAACAACTGTATGCAAATAAGTCAAAATTCCAAATATTACCAAAAGAAACATTATACCAACTAGGATTTTTGAAAAATTAAGTCAAAACTCCAACATCATACCTAACTAAAATTAAAACAAATACAATAAAATGCAACACTGCCTTCCAAACTCCACCCAAATTTCTGTACTTTTTAAATTTTAATTTTATTATCCCTCTTCATATTTGAGCACATTTTGGAAACCAAACCGATTCTATCAATTTTCTAAATCGAAGTTGAACCGAATAAGTCGATTAACATATATGTCGCTCTGATTATCGATTGATTTTTTATAGGTTTAACGAAACCAAATAAAAAAAAAAACCAAAATTTTGTAAAATAAAAATTGAAACTGAACTAACATTAATCAATGTTTTTGGTGGTGTTTGATTTCATAGACGGCGCCGCATCGGAATTGCATCAGATTTTGAGAAAACTAAAAACGGAAAATACATCAGCATATGCTGGTTTGGTTAGCCGTTTTAAAAAAAATGGCTAATTTCAGATAAATACCGTTTTGATTTTGACCTTTTTTTTTTTTCCTTTGAAATCAAAGCGTTTTCTGCTATGATGACCGACGTGATTCTTACGTGACGCTATTTTTACAATAGAACTAAAATGCACCGTGTATAAACATCTCCTAAAAAATCGCAAAAAGATACAATGCCGTGTTTTAAGAAAACGCAATGAAAGGAAAAAAAATAAACACATTTGGTTTCTACTTTTTAACGGTTTGCACACTAGCTCTGAAAGTTTGCATGCATTTGATTTCTACTTTCCAATGCTTTCTTACTGTCTGCTTGACTGAACTGGATTCCAAATCCAAACTGAATGATAAGTTCAAACGGTTCGACCGGCCAGATCAACGGCGGGTTGAAAACATTGCTATTTAGGCAGCAAGGCCCGCCCTGGTGCAATCGTATTACCTTTTCTTTTCCGAAAGAAATCAGTTCTTTGAAGAAAAATTGTCGCCATCGTCTCAGTCAAAGAGAATTTCGTATAAAACCGACAGAATCAGAGGCTTTTGCGACATCTGATCCCGATTACTCCTCTTCAAGTTTCAATCGTTTCCGTTCAAACTCTTCAAAAGAAAGTCAAGGTGCATTTTCGTAATTGCACTCAAAATCACGACCATTTTCTCCAGCTTTCTGTTCTTCCCTATTTATATCTCCTCTCTTATACTCTTTTCTCACTCACACTTCACCTCCCTCTTCCCTGCAACTCTCCTTGTATTCTTTTCATAGTGATAGTTTATTGCCTTTTCTTCTCGTCCTAACTCCTGCTTGATTAAAGCCACTCTTTCCATCAAGATTCTCTGTAAACATAATTTAAAATGTTTTCGATTCTTGGGAGAGAAATGATGCGATTTAGGTACGTAATCAGATCATTTACCAAATTTCTTCTTTTTCTTTAATTTTCTCTATAAAAAGATAAGCGGACAAGTAAGATCTTCTCAGGCCAAAAATTTATCTTTCTGTTATCGTGTTTCTTGTTTACTGAAGTGCGGTAAGTTTCTGAACTTTTGTAGAAGATAGACGTTTAATTTGATTCTTCTACTCAATCGCATTCTTTCTTTGATTTCAGGTTTGTATGGTAGGACTGCAGAACAATCGGATCAGGCATTTCCAATTTCTTTCCCAGTTAAAGTAATCTGCTCAAATTTGTGAGATTCAATCATAGATTACATATAGGTCTCCAAGTGCAGAACAACGCTCTTGCAAAGAAAAAAAGATGGGGAAAGGAGAGGCCGAAGCATGTGTTTCGGTTATTTTCTTATTGTTTATCGGCTTTACAGGAGCAGCAAATGGAGATGAAGTTGAACTCCTTTTATCATTCAAAAGCTGTATCAACGATCCGTTTAGGTTTCTCTCTAGATGGAACTCCTCTGTTGCTTTATGCGACTGGTACGGGATTACCTGCTTAAACTCCTCTCACGTTTCCGGAATTGAACTCTCCGGAAAGAACATCTCCGGCGAACTCTCTCCCTATCTTTTCCGTCTACCGTTTATCGAAAGTATCAATCTCTCCAACAATGAGTTCTTCGGAGAACTTCCTAATGAAACATTTTCCTGTTTGTCCCTTCGCTATCTTAATCTCAGCAGCAATAACTTCACTGGTTCAATGCCTCGTGGTTCAACCTCCGGCCTTGAGACTTTGGATTTATCTAACAACATTATCTCTGGTGAAATTTCGGTTGACATCGGATTATTTACCGGCCTTAAAGTTGTTGATATCGGAGGGAATGTCTTAACAGGAAAAATTCCAACTTCGATTTCAAACCTCCAAAAGTTAGAGTACTTGACATTAGCATCAAACAGGTTAGTTGGTGAAGCTCCGAGGGAACTGGGCCAAATGAGGAGTTTGAAGTGGATTTACTTGGGATACAACAATCTTTCGGGTGAGATACCGAAAGAAATTGGTGACTTAACTTCTTTGAATCATCTTGATCTTGTCTACAATAATCTCACAGGAAAAATCCCGTCTTCACTAGGGAATCTCAGTGATCTTCGGTACCTTTTCCTTTATCAAAACAATCTTACCGGCTCGATTCCTCCATCTATATTTAATCTCAGAAAGCTTGTTTCTCTCGATTTAAGCGACAATTCTCTCACTGGACCCATTCCTGAACTTGTAATTCAGCTACAAAACTTGGAAATTCTTCATCTCTTCGCCAATAATTTTACTGGAACAATTCCAGAGGCCATTGCTTCTCTGCCTCGTCTCCAAGTTCTTCAGCTCTGGTCCAACGGGTTATCAGGAAAGATTCCCCAAAACCTCGGAAAACAAAACAATCTGACTATCGTAGATCTTTCGACGAATAAACTCACAGGGAAAATTCCAGACAGTTTATGCAATTCTGGACGACTCTTTAAGCTCATCCTCTTCTCCAACTTCCTTGAAGGCGGAATACCAAAGAGCTTAAGCTACTGCAGAAGCTTACAGCGAGTTCGTCTGCAGAACAACCGATTCTCCGGTGAATTGCCGCCAGAGTTTACGAAATTGCCACTTGTTTACTATCTCGATGTATCAGGCAACAATCTTTCTGGCAGGATCGATGGGAGGAGGTGGGATATGCCTTCACTTCAGATGCTGAATTTAGCGAGAAACAGATTTGACGGAAACTTGCCGCAGTCCTTTGGTAGTGAGAAGCTTGAGAACCTTGACCTGTCTAAAAACCGCTTTTTAGGTACAATACCGCCGAGCTACGGAAACCTATCGGACCTAATGCAGTTGAAGCTAAGTGAAAACCAGATTACCGGTTCCATCCCAGACGAGTTGTCTGCATGCAAAAAGTTGGTGTATTTGGACCTCAGCCAAAATCAACTAACCGGTCGTATTCCGGCTAGTCTCGCGGAAATGCCGGTTCTCGCTGAACTCAACTTGTCGGAAAACCAGCTATATGGCAAAATACCGGAGAATTTGGGAAATGTGGAATCACTTGTTCAAGTAAACGTCTCTCACAACCATTTGTACGGTAGTTTACCTTCGACAGGAGCATTCCTCGCTATCAACTCGAGCGCCGTCCTCGGCAATAATCTTTGTGGTGGTGATATTGTAAGTGGTTTGCCGCCATGCGAAACCATAAAATGGCATGTTTGGTGGTTCCTCGTCACTACTCTTCTGGTCGTCCTAGTTGTTTTGGTTCTTTTGCTGTCCGTCGTGGTCTTGCTTCGACGTCGAAATGAAAATCTACAGCTCGAAAAGGTCGACGGCGAATACAGTAATGGTATCTGGGATTTGCAGATATTTGATTCTAGAGCTTCGAGGTCAGTCACCATAGACGATGTCTTGTCGTCGACAAAAGAAGAGAACGTCATATCGAGGGGGAGTACCGGCACACTGTATATCGGGAAATCTGCTGCAGACGATGTGCAGTTTGTCGTAAAAGAGATGGATGGCGATCACTCCCCTTCGTCGAATTTATGGATGCAAAATGTGGAATTAGGAAGACTCCGACATCCAAACGTGATTAAAATGATCGGGATATGTAGGTCGGAAAAGGGTGGAATTGGATTTATCATTTTTGAGTTCATTGAAGGGAAAACCTTGAGAGATATTTTAAGTGGTTTAAGTTGGGAATGTCGCCGGAAAATAGTCATTCGGATAATGAAGACTCTTCAGTTTCTACATTACCGATGCTCTCCGAGTGTTCTGGTAGGAAATCTGTCGCCAGAGGAAGTGATCATCGACGGAAAAGAGGAGCCTCGTCTCCGTCTAAGTCTTCCAGGGTTCGTCCTCGTGGGTGACAATCTCAAAGGTTTCCTCACTTCAGGCTACGTAGCACCAGGTACGTGTCCAAACGAACTCACGTGCTAACGAGTGCTCATTTCAAATGGCGGGACCCAACTGTAATTCAAAAAGTGCTTTATTAAAAAAGTATTTAATATTAGAAAATACTCCCTTTGCCACGCGAAAGAACGAAGATTAATAATATCCGTCTAATTTTAGTCTGTTTATCGATACAAGTTTTATTGTAGGAAATTACAAGAGTATCTACGATATTCATGTTGATTGCCATGCACCTGTGTGCCATACGTATTAACGTACTCTCTGTTGCAGAAACACGGGAGAAGATGGATATCAACGAGAAGAGCGACGTATACAGCTTTGGAGTCCTCTTGATCGAATTCCTGACAGGAAAGAGCTCGAGCTCGATCGACGCGGAGGTGGGTCTGCATCTGCAAGAGGGCACCGTGGAGTGGGCCCGTTACTGCTACTCAGAATGCCATCTGGACACGTGGGTCGATCCTGCAATCAAGGAGTACGCATCGAATCATCGGAACGAGATCGTGGAAACAATGTACGTAGCTCTGCGGTGCACCGCGAGGGACCCCTTAGCGAGACCAAGCACCAGCCACGGATTGAAAATGCTAGAATCTGCCATCAGAGCCTGTTCCTGTGTTTCAGTGCCCAAATTTTCTGCCACTATGTGATAATCTTGGATACATATAATTTCATGTTCTTTTACGGTTTTACTTGTGCTTTATAAATATAAAGATGTTAAATGAGTGTTGCTCAATGCTGTCTTTGTGTTTATTATCATGACCATAAGTTCTGAAAATTAACTCTAAAAGAGAAGCAGGAGGCTGGCTTACAGAGAGAGAGAGGGGAAAAAAAAGGTCGAAGTCTGTTGGGATATTCAGATCCCAAAAAGGAAAAATATTCATTTCGATGATTTCATTGATATGATTCTATTCCATACCAGTGGGGAAAGGTTGCAGATCTGATTAATCAGGAGTCGTTTTTTATCATTAGATTTTCTCTTTTGATGCGCGCATGGAGATGTTCTGTGTGGCTCATTTCCATCTTGGACTAAGCCTTTTAAGCTTTGGTCCATGAGAGATATAAAGTCAAGGGAAAATTTTCAAGGTATTTCACATCCTCAAGGAAGAGGAATGCAGCCCCAAACTTAACAATTAACTCTACAGCACAGTTTGTTGATATAATGGTCACCTGGTTTTCTTGTACTATTTTTTTTTTCCATATTTTATGTTTAAAAGCTAAACTTCATAAACTGTGTATAGGATATAAATTTTTGTTAAACACTTGTTATATCAACATATAAACAGTCAAAAATAGCGTTCCAAGTTCTTATTATCATTGGTATTTAATAATTGTAGATGTGATATAGTTGTATTAGACTTGATTATCCTGACTAATAATTGGTTTGGTTCTAGGTCTATTTTACAGAACCGATTAATAATTGGTTCATAACTTGTTTGTTCATAAGAGTTATTAGATATGGTTTGATCATGTGGATAAAAGACCACCCACCACCTGCTAGAAAATAGTGACCTGTTACAAATTGAAGGGGCTTGGGACAACTAAAAATAACTGGGTGGAAGTAAAAAGAAATTATTTAAATGCAATGGATATGACATATATCAGAATGTGAGTGAGGAAACAGGATTGATATAACTGATCCCATATAGTTTTTCTTTTGAAAAAAAAAAACATGAGGAATTAATTAAAGATCATGTGGGGATACAAATCATCATAATCCTCCTGGAGCAATAGATGAATCCAGGGACCAACGAGTTAAATGCATACGCATGAAAAGATCAAAACTGACGGTGCCAGTTCGCAGTTAACCTGCTGGTAAAGTTTCTATGTGGTTGAAGTGGAGACCTGGGATTAAGTGCCACCTTCATCCATATGTTGGGGGGATCTAGGTGTTGTGCGGATTTTTTTTTTTTTGTTTGATTTTAATAATGGTATTCAATATACAAATATGATATAAATCTAATGGAAAACACTCAACTTGAATTTAAATGTTGATGGTTCAAATTTCATCTATGTTAATTGTTTCGATCTATCTCTATTTGTAGTCTTCTCCAAGTTCTTTTAGACTTCTTACCCCCTTTTGACGCCCTAAGAAAATTTCAGTCATCAATGAGAAAAATGATTACATCTTCATATGGATGGTAGATTCAATGAAACAAGGGCTAAAAGACCAAGTATGTACTCTACAAAGACTACAACCAACTTTAGTAAGACTGTGAACTCCATTATATTCCTGGATTGTAGAATATGGGGGTGGGATAGAGATTGTTGGGAAGGACTAGATGATTCCTCTGCATTAGATATTGACATACACTGAATGACTGAATATTGAATTGAGGTTAAGAGCATTTATTTGAAAGTTGTAAACTTGTAATAGCAGAGAAAAGACTGATACAATTGCCTCACTTTGAAACTCACCTAATCAAATATCTACATTAGAATTTATTTTTCATATCAAAAGCTAGGAATGGCTGCAAATTGAAACCAAGAGAAAAAAATGGAAAATATCTTATCCTTAATTATATTACTATATAAAGCCGGTATACTTGGCTTCTCGTCCGGACAACCAGATATGTTTAATTTCCTCTCTCTCCTCCATTTATTTCCTCTTTAGCTCAGACTTAACTCATATATATAAATCTCTATTACTAACAAGTAACAAATCAATCTGATTTGGTATCCTAACTCAAATAAGAAAGCCAGCACAAAGGCATGCATACATTAAGTTGGCATGGGTCCCATTCATTTGGATCAATTGGATTATCGAACCTGGCCTCTTGAATCAAATAAAAGACCCAACCTGAATTCACCACATGGATGGTGGGTCTCAAACAAAATACATCATGTATGGTTGCCCCATATACTCAGTATTGGTAGGCAGAGCTGAGACAGGTTGCAATGAGGCTGCCTTCACCAGAACACTTTGACCAATCAAAACCTCAAATTCTCAAGTGAATTTGAATGAAGATACAGATTTAATTGGGTATCAATTTTTTAGGCAAAGGTACCATATATAGCAGGACTCTTGGAATCATTAGATATACTGAATTTTGGTCTAACTATTGTTTACAATGGGACCTATATATCTATGACCCACCCAATCGTGGCTCCCCATCTTCTTAATCTGAACACGTGGCTACTTAAGAGGGCATCTCATTGCTATTATGATGAGGCCCCTTCTTTGTAGCATGCCACTAAAGCCATATCGCCCGCTCCATTAATTTTTCATAAGGGAGTGGGGGTAGGCCAGCCTTGTTATGGCATTTCAAGAAACCTGGACATTGATTCATCAACAACAAGACAAATTGCTATATATTGTCACTTTGAACCAATTATAGCAATTTACCATCACCGTTCACCATAAAGATTGTTGAATAATCATATTTCATGCTCTCAGTTGGATTTTGATAAAAGTACTTCTTAACATGTTACCCACGGAGGAGGATCTCTTTTGCATATATAGAGATCTTAAGTTGATTAAGGTAGAGAATTTGGCATCACAACCACAGATGGGTAATCAAAGATGTGAACCATATTCAGGGTCTCAATCTTCTAATGAACAAATGCCTATTATTCAGTCAGAATCTCTATCTAAATATTGTATATTCTATCATAATATCAAACCACCAAAGGAAAATATGCTCCTGAAAACTTGAAGTTCAAAAACATGTTTCTGTTTTCATTTTTGAGTAGCATGAAAACACTTCCATAGTTTTTTTTTCGAATATAAATGTTTTTCTAAACCAATTATTAGGTCCAATTTTTAGAAGTTAAATCACAACAAAGTAAACAGCCCATGTTGATGATCAAAAGTTTTTTCACCAGTTGTCTAACATGCATAAACAGAAAGGAATGAATGTGAAAAAAAAAATGTTTCAGCTATATTTCTGCCATCCTATTAGACAAAAGAAGGCATCGATTTCAAACAAGGTCCTCTGATCTTCTTTAGAGAGCTAACATTGATCAAAGAATTTACAATGTGTACAGTGTTAGCCTACCCACTAAGGAGAGTTGTGATCGATGGCTGGGTCAGTAGTGCTCTCTACATGATACATTTAATGTACTATTCATGGATGTGATGGTCCAATGATATTTGTTTGCTTATTGCGAATGATAAAATCCACTGCTTAAATCGAAAGTTGGAAGGAGAGATTAGACAGCCAATGAATGGCCTTTTACATGCAACTTGAAATTGAAGAGTTATCATCTATTGCAGCCTTTCTCAGAAAAAGCTTAGTGATCACTCAAAGGAGACTTGGATATTTCCAGAAAAAAAAAAAAGAAAATTAAATAGGAACAGGATTAGAATCTACAAGATTGTCAAGAGTGTACTTACATCGCAAAATGAGTATTTTTGTTACTTGTTTTCTTATGTGACACCTGATGTAATCGTTTCTGGTCACGTACCATTTTTTGTGATGTATAAATTTTTTGGTTAAGTACCTCGTTGTTTGACCTGGTGGTGATGTGCCTTGGTGATGAGCTACTTGGTGGCAAATTGCCCGATGGCGAGCTCCCTGGTGGAGAGCTACTTGGTGACAAACTGCCTGGTGGTGAATTGCCTGGTGGCGAGCTGCTTGGTGGCGAACTGCCTGGTGGTAAACTCCCTGGTGGCGAACTGCCTGGTGGCAAACTGCCTGGTGGCGAACTGCCTGGTGGCGAACTGCCTGGTGGCGACTCCCTGGTGGCGAACTGCCTGGTGGACTCGTCACTTGACTTACTCCTAGGCGGCCTGCAACTCAGATGATGGTGGAGCTCCCTGGTGCAGCGCAACCCGACTACCCTCCGCGTGAGGTGATTTCCTCTCCTTTGTAGGCGGCGGGAGCTGAGGGACCTRCGAGAACTGAATCAGAGGACCCGGGGGTATTTTCCCGGCAGGGACTCTCCGATTTCTAAGTTAGCATTCTGATTACAGAGAGCTTGGAGAGAAATGAGAGAGCTAGA